GCCTCCTGGCATCACCACTGCTCCCCACTACTTCTTTAGATGTAGTCGGGTATTCCCATAAATCAGGCTCAACTGTGACACTTGTGGCCCAGCCCCTCGCAGGTTACTTCTGCCCACCATGTCCTGCTGGAGAGATGTCATAGTGAGGTCAGCCTGTTGGAAGAATGATCTGGAAGACAAGGTATCTGATTTGTGTCTGGGTTGTCCTCAAGGGCTCATGGGTTGGAAGCCTTGTCCTCGGAGGGGTGGTGCTGAGGTGGAGGGACCTCTAAGAGGTGAGGCCTTGCTGAGCGTTAGTGAGGTGGATGAGGGCACTGCCCTAGGATGGAAGTGATGAGGCTCCTGTAGGACCCCAAGTTAGTCCCTACAATGGGCCTGGCCCCTCCTGTTCTCTGCTTTCCTGTCTTGCCATGCCATCTCTTCCAGACAGACTACCATGGTGCCATTGGCCATGAAGCCCTCACCAGATGCTGAGGATGTGGGAGCCCTGATCCTGGACTTTCTGCTTTCAGAACTGTGAACTAGATAAACCTCGTTTGTTTATAAAGGACCCAGACTTGGGTGTTTTGTTACTGCAATAGAAAATGAACAAATCCATGGGAGGATAGATAATTCTTAGGACCTTATTAGAAGGGAAAACAAAGGTACTGTCTGAACCAAAACCAAAATACTTCCAAGGTTAACTCGAAAACAAAGCCTATGAAGATCAACAAAAAGCACCATGAAAGCACAGGTCAGCAATTACAGCCCATATGTCTCATGCTGGCCCTAGGGCTGGGAGAGCAGATAAAAGCAGAACCAGACTTGGGCTCTGAGACCATCAGTGACCAAAGTGACAATGAAAGGAGCCTTCCCACAAAGGTAGGGACAGATGAGGACTGACAGGATCAGCTAGAGACACAGTGTCTGACACAGAGAGGAGCCAGAGGCTGGATGTTCTAAATCTGCATCTGCCTGTCAAGGAGGGTCAGGAAAGGAATGGAATGGCAAGAGAGTCACTTGTCACCTCTTCCGGGTATCTTCCATGCAGTGGAAGGTGAGGAAGGACACACATAAGGGACAAATGGTTTCAAACATCTGTGTGTGATCACTCCAGTACAAAGGAAGCAGCAGCTGGTGACTTCAAGTTACTTTCATTTAGGCCCCAAATGTAGGATGTGGGTGCAAGGTTGAAGAGGAGAAGGTGAACTGCTATATGAGGTGCTTTTAGATTCAGGAAAGGCTATGAAATAATAAAACAGTGACTTACACCAGCTACTCTGTCCATCACCCATAAACAAGTATTTATTGGGGATCTGCTCTGCTGGTGGGCAGGAATGCAAAAGATAAAGGGTCTATAGGAGTTTCTCTTCTTATTCCTTCTCTTTTTCAAAATGTTTTATTTATTATTAATTTTTTAAAGCTGTGGTAAAAGATGAATAACAAAATTTATTATTTTAACGACAGTATTTTTAATTGTACAGTTCAGTGGCATTAAATACATTCCCCTTGATGTGGTGCCATCACTACCATCTTCATCTCACAAAACCAAAACTCTGTACCCGTTAAACAATAATTCCCCATCCTCTTCCCACCTCAGACCCCAGTAGCCATACCCTACATGGGCTGCTTTCTGATTTCACTCCACAAAACCTTCTAGAACATATTTGTAAAATGCAGTTATGAATATGATTTCAAGTCTTGGCTGTCCGGTAAGTATATATTTTCTTATAGCTGGATTTAACACCCACCCACACAAATACTAATTGCAGAGAAAAGGAACAGGCTTATATCTTCATACTAAAAACAGCAGGCCCCCAGTGACAGCCCTCTTTCTTTCCTCTACAATGGGCTGAAGTACTGAAGTGACTGCAAAGACTGGGCAGAAGAGGCCCACAAGAGGATGGCACCCTGCTTCTGGCAGGCACAGGCAAAAGAGACTACTCTGTTTGCATGAACCAATGGGGAATGTGGTTCTATGCTGACACAAGGGCCTAACAGTGGCCCTCATTACATGCAGGAATCAGAGGAAGGGTCCCAAGTTGTTGGGAAGGCCACCAGAGGAAGAGGAAGGTTTCAAAAATGGCAGCACAAGGAGCAGAAGGCCAGATGCATGTCTGAGTTCATGTCAGCAACAGCAAGTCCACCAAGTAATATGTAGGATACTACATCCAAGAAAAGTAAACATCCTTATAATCCCTGAGGGCAAGGCTAAGAGAGTTCTCTGTTCTGAGTTCCACACCCTTACTAATGTTTACCCTTCAAGAACCTTTCACCTGTGCTATTATTGCCAGGAGTACTCTAGGGAAGAGGGCAATGATTATAGCAGGTTACACTGAGAACCTGCTGCAAGCAAGGTCACTGTCGCCACACAGGGATACGGTTCCCACACTGCCACTTCTAATGCTAAGCCAAAATGCAGCTGAGTGAGTGAGGGGATGCAAGGCTTCTATTTGCAGGTGTAACTTAGCAGGTAAAGAGAGCTAACAGCCACTGCAATGTGGGCAGCACAGTCTCCACATCCTGTGGACCTGGGTTATACTGGCTTTGTCGTGCTTTAAGTTACTCAGAAGTTGTAACAACCATTCCTACCTAACCATTAGGCTCTTGCAGCTGTCCTTAGAGATTCTGAGATGTCTGAAATCGGTCACATCTCTTAGGTGTGGAAACACAGGGAAAGTTTAAGAATACTAATATAGCCTCATAGTAACTAATAAGAGGTCTGTGATCCTCTTCCACAATTCCTTTCTTTCTAAAGCAATAGAAATACAATGCCAAGTCACATATGTAAAGTTTCACTAGCTATATAAAAAGGAAACAGATAAAGTGTTAATAATATATTTAACATATCCAAATTACTGTCATTTCAGCAAATTATATATTAAGTATATAAAGCATATATAAAGTACATTCTGATATCATAGTATATTAATGATATATATCACATATGAGAACTAAGGCTTAAAAGTCAGACATTGGTGGAGGTTTTTGTGGTACTAGAGATTGGACCCAGGGCCTTTCCACTGAGCTATATCCCCAGCCCTCACCTCTTAGAATTCTAATTTTGAAATAGGGTCTTGCTAAATTGCCCAGGTTGGGCTTGAACTTGTGATCCTCCTCCTTGGCCTCCCAAATTGCTGGGATTACAGGAGTGCACCACCACACCTGAGTGGATGTGTATTTCAGAACTAGAGAACATCTCAATCCATAATGAGCCACATTTCAAGTGCTCAGGAGGCACATGTAGCTGGTGGCTACCACAGAGGACAAACAAATCCAGGCTGTTCTTGAGTCCTCAGGACTCAAGCCCTACTCTTGCATCTCCCATCATTGTAAGTCTACTCCAACAGAAACAGAAAGCCCCCCACCAAATCTCAAGGCCATTTCCTTTCCAAGTTTAAATGTCCACTTTGATCTTTATTGCATCCCAACTCTTCTCCAATTATCCATTCCATCATCAAGTTGTCATTACTGAATGTCTAGCAAGTGCTGAGTGTCTGTATTAACTGATGAGGATGAAAAGATAAATAAGTTGTAGACCCTGACTTGTAGTAGCTCTTAGCTTAGTGAGATATGCAGATGCGAACACACAAAAAAATGCGCTGGATGTCTCTCAGAGACACAGACAAAGGGAAGCAAAGAGGAGGGAACAACTGCTTCTCACGGGGCTTCTGGAAAGCATTCAGATAGGGACCCTGGGCTGGGTTTTGAGAGAAACTGTGGAGGCAGGAAAAAGGTATTTCAAGCATGGGGAAAGCATGTTCAAGAGACAGATCTTTTGCAAACAGGAAGAGGATCAAGGGACGGAGGGAGGCTGAAGTGAGGAGGAAGGGAAAGGGAAGTCAAAAAATTGGGATGTGTTTTGTACATGTGCCAATTTCCTATTCTGAATGTAATCATATATTGCAAACATGTACAGTACTAATAAAAACTTTACAAAGATAACAGTATGATGATCTGGATGCTTGGAAATGGCAAGTAAAGCAAACAGTGACTAGTTGGCCAAGAAGATGGCACGGAAGGCCTGGAGGGGCTGGCCACAACTGCTCAGCCCTGAATGCCCAGTGACAGATTGAGAATTACTGAGCAGGATCCAGGAGCTGGGGGCAGACTCTGTGCTGGCCTGTAGTGCAGACTGGAGAGGAAAGAGAAGCAAAGAGAGCTGAACTAAGGGGCAGCAGCATGCCTAGGAAGGAGGGGCAGTGAGTACCACATGACACAGGGAATGTGGGAACGCTGGCTTCCGAAGATGGTCAGTCTCAAGATGAGCATCTTGCCATGGGATCTGGGCAAAGGGCCTGGCCCAAACACCCTGTTCTAGGGGACTAGGGCCACCAGCATGGTACTTATACAGGACCATTATGGTCTGTCTCCATCTGAGAGCACTGAATGTGCTCTTGCCCTGATGGAATTAACAGAGCTCCTTGAAGGTCAATGTAGGCATCAAGCAGAGTCAAGCTGAATGACTTCCAAGATGGCCAAGAAAATCATACCCGAAAGACCCTGCAGCTGGGTAGTACCTGGCCAGCAACCAGATGATGTAGTGGCTCATGTTACCCTGGGCACTAACATGGCTTATTTGATGCTAAGCTTTCTGCGAGAAGGTTCTGAAATGCCCAGGTGAGAATGTAGCTCAGCATGAAGGCCCTGGGTTCAACTCCCAGTATCACACATACACACACACACACACACACACACACACACACACACACACACAGGCAACAATATGACATCTAAGATGAGAAGGCATGGACAACGAAATGACTTGGTCATACAGCTTGTCAATGGCAAAACCTAGCATACAATTCAGCTTTCGTGATTTGTTAGCTTGTGTCCCTTTCACAGCATACTGTCCTTGGTTGTACCAAAGCCGCAACAAGATTAGTGGAGTGTATGTCCTGAAGAACTGTTTACCTTTTCTGCAACTCAAATGGACAATAAGAAAGCCAGACTGGAGTGACAGCAGTGAGCCACACTGTGAGCCAGGAGTTTCACAAAGTAGCAGTGACCTGGGTACTCACATGGTGAGAGGTCCACAAAGCTCGGGTCGATGTTATGCAGTAGCTCCATTCTGGGAGACGGGCTTCCTTCACTAGAAAAGAATTTTTTAGGAAATGTTAATTTCCTCTCTCAAATGGGCAAGAGTTATTTTAATACTTCCTTTTCTTGTATTTGTTGAAAATAACAAACTGGATGGTGGCAGTTAACAATTTTATCATGAATTCAGAGGTCTCCAAAATCTATGTTTGGTGTATCTTCAAGTAGTCATGTCTGAATACTTTAGATAAAAACATCAATGTCAAGCATATGATGATATAAAAATAAATACATGAAAGAGTCCTAGGATCCTCTGCAATAATACTGTGGTTATAATTACACATGGCCATTCTTCCACCTGAGAAATGAGGACTGTGGTGATTTCATATCTTGAAACAAAGAAAAGGCATTTGCCAAATGGCAGCACTCATATTACAGATGCAGTGTGTATCTTAAAGATGAGCTACATCAGAAATTTTAATGTCTTCCATATCCAAATGGACCACAGATTTAACACAAATATCTGTGAAATAATTTCCTGAACACTTTTTTAAAAAGTGTACATGCAGCTACAGTCACAACCTACATTAGTGCTAAAAACAAACCTGGAAACCACTTGGTTCCATCTTGTCCTAATAAGGAAGATACAGTATATAGCAAATTATTGGCAGAATATTGGGTTGTATGATTCTCAAAGCAGTGTTGTTTAAAAACTGGGCACACAAATTTCACCAGATGTTCATAGAGAGTGCATAAAGTATGCAGGTAACTTTGCTAGTGTAGATTCAGTCTTATGGAAACTGCTAAACACAATTAAATCACCAGGAGAGTACTACAAACTTCTCAATAATCCAATGCTGTTTAGCTAAGGTAGCAAAGCATTATTTGCACCACAGGATTTATATTCAGTCTGAACAACTAGTAAGGCTCTTTATATAACCAAGAAGACATGTTTTCAAGTAGCCCAATATCCACACACCAAACTCACACCTAGCTGTTTACAGCAGTGGTTTGGGATTTCAAGGACCAGTAAAATTTTTTAATACTCTGAGTTATGACTTACAAGAGTTGTGATTTTTCAAATAAGCAAATGTTAACATAAAATTTAATTAATTTAAAGGCAAATAGCCCCCCAAAAGTTCTACTATCATCATCATTTTCTAAAATAAAAGTAATTTAATAGAGAAAATTAGGAAGGACACAATCTCAGAATAAATGATGGTCCTTCAAATTGAGTATACTTAACTTCAGTATTCTAAGATTTCATTGCCCTCTCTATTCCACAAAATACACTAATTAGAAAGAGTACAATGGAAATACTCAGGATACCTCCAGTCCTCAGTCCAGTGCTCATCAACAGCACTGCAGGCTGAGTGGAGCTGAGGGTAAGACATATCTCACAGAACTCTTCTCGTTTTCTTCCTGAGGCATTTAACTAACTCCCTATTTATCCTGAAGACTGTCAACCAGTCCAAAGGCCAGGAAGTAGGATATGATCCCAGAAACCTTGGGTGCACACAGGCATTTTGGGCAAAGAAAATGGTAAATGCAAGAAAATATAAACAGAATATTGAGATGATGCCTAATCTGGTGGCTTAGAAGAATTAAACTTCTGGGTAATAATAGCAAGGAAGCCAGGAGGGGAAATCAGAATGAAAACATGATTAAGTCTTTGGATTATTTGGGCAAAGGGCAAAATTACTGATTTAAATTTAGCTAAATAAAATATATGTGTTAGGTTGTTAGGGTAATATTTTTTTTAAAAGGAGTTTTGTAGACTACATCAAATCAAATCAAAATTCATTTAATTCAAAAGAAGGCAAGACAGTCCGACATACCGGAACTTACGGAACACAATGAAAGGAGTCCTACCAGAGAAATTTATAGCAGTGAATTCCCACAATAGAAAAACAGAGTGAGCTCAAATAAATAACCTAATGTTGAATCTTAAGATTCTAGAAAAAGAAGAGCAAGTTAAGCCCAAATCATGTACAAGGGAGGAAATCATAAACATCAGAGCAGAAATTAAGGCAACTGAGACTAAGAAAATAATACAAAGAATCAATGGATCAAAGAGTTGGTTCTTTGAAAGATTAAATAAAATGGACAAACTCTTAGCCAATTTTATCAAAAAGAAGGAAAGAAAAGACCCAAATCCATGCAATTAGGAATGAAAAGGGTGAAATCACAACAGATTCAGCAGAAATCCGGAAGATCATCAATACCTACTTTGAGAACCTGTACTCTAATAAGATGGAAAACTCAGAAGACTGACAGATTCCTAGATACATATGAATTACCAAAGCTGAATCGAGAAGATATAAAAATCCTAAATAAGGCTCCACCCCCCTCCCGAGGGCTAGGTGGTGGTGGAGCACAGGCCTCATGGTAACGGCCATCTCACGGCTGTCCAGCCATCCGTGGTGATGGTGGCATGTGGTTGCCCTCCTCAGGTGACTGGAGCTGCCTAGGCTCAGCATAGGGAAGTGCTGAAACTGTTGAAAGATGGCAGAAGTGGTATAGTAGCCAAATTTGATTATGTGGCCCAACAAGAACAAGAGCTAGACATTAAGAAGAATGAGAGATTATGGCTTCTGGATGATTCTAAGTCCTGGTGATAAGTTAGAAATTCCATGAATAAAACAGGTTTTGTGCCTTCTAACTATGTGGCAAGGAAAAACAGCGCTCAAAAAGCATCTATTGTAAAAAACCTAAAGGATACCTTAGGCATTGGAAAAGTGAAAAGAAAACCTAGTGTTCCAGATTCTGCTGATGACAGTTTTGTTGACCCAGGGGAACGACTTCATGACCTCAACATGCCTGTCTGTGTGAAATTTAACTACATGGCTGTGAAATTTAACTACATTGATAAAAGGAACAAAAGTGATTTGTCATGGAGAAATGCAGTGATGGGTGGTGGTGGGGTAGCTACAATGGAAAAATTGGATGGTTCCCTTCAAACTATGTAACTGAAGAAGGTGACAGTCCTTTGGGTGACCATGTGGGTCCACCATCAGAGAAATTAGCAGCAGTTGTCAGTAACCTAAATACTGGGCAAGTGTTGCATGTGGTACAGGCTCTTTACCCATTCAGTTCATCCAATGATGAAGAACTTAATTTTGAGAAAGGCAATGTAATGGATGTTATTTAAAAGTCAAAAAGTGACCCGGAGTGGTGGAAATGCAGGATGATCAATGGGATGGTTGGTCTGGTGCCAAAAAACTGTTAACGTTATGCAGAATAATTCATTAACTTCAGGTTTTGAACCACCACTTCCACAGTGTGATTATATTAGGCCTTTACTCACTGGAAAGTTTGCTGACAATTCTTGGTATTATGGCAAAGTTACCAGACATCAAGCAGAAATGGCATTAAATGAAAGAGGACATGAAGGAGATTTTTCTCATCCGTGATAGTGAATCTTTGCCAAATGATTTTTCAGTATCATTAAAAGCACAAGGGAAAAAACAAGCATTTTAAAGTCCAACTAAAAGAGACCCTCTACTGCATTGGGCACCATAAATTCAGCACCATGAAAGAACTTGTAGAACATTACCAAAAGGCACCAATTTTTACAAGTGAACAAGGAGAAAAATTATCTTGTCAAACATTTATCATGATACTGCTAGTCAGAAGTGACTGTTAATACAGCTTTATTTCTCATGTAATTGAAGACTGAGAAAATGTTAGTCCGATCCTGCTTGATTGGAAATTGCTATTTCTAACCCTGTATGAGAACTGATTATAATAAATAAGTATTTTTGTTATCACTTAGCCCATACATAAACGTTATATATGCAATGCATCAGCACAGAACAATTTCTTACCCTTAGTGTTTTCTTCTTTGCTGTTTTTCTCTTTGCTTCTAATATTAAGGTTTTGTATTTTGAGAAAAAAAATCAAATAATGCAGATCTGAAGTCTGTATGGAAGAATTCGTTTATTGCCTTTCTTGTATTTCCTTGTAAAGGTCCCTGCTAGTTCTGCCACAGTTTCTCTTCATATAAAATTATATCTATCTATGACATATGCTAAAGTAAATTTCTTGGGAAGTGTTATCTTTTCTGTGACTAGAAATAACAAATGGAAAATTAGAAATTAAAAACAATTCTAAATAAACCAATATCAGTCAATGAAACTGAAGAACTATTAAAGAAAACTACCAACAAAGAAAAGCCCAGGTCCTGATAGATTCACTGCTGAATTCTACAAAAACTTTAGAGAAGATCTAATGCGACTACTCCTCAAACTCTTTAATGAAATTGAAAGGGAAGCAATCCTGCCAAATTCATTCCTGGAAGCAAGCATTACCCTGATACCAAAACCAGAGAAGGATCTAACCAAAAAAGACAACTATAGGCTAATCTCCTTAATGAACATGGATGCAAAAATCCTTAGTAAGATACTGGCAAATAGAATGCAACAAATCATCAAGAAAATTACACTCCATGACTAAGTAGATTTCATCCCAGGGACGTAGGGATGGTTTAACATACACAAGTCAATAAATGTAATACACTATGTCAACCAAACCAAAGACAAAAACCACATGATCATCTCAACAGATGCAGAAAAAACATGTGACAAAATTCAACACTCATTCATGGTAAAAACCCTACAGAGTCAGCAGGAAGCAGCTCCAGAAAAAGAGATCTTTGCCCAACTACCATAAAACAAAAGCCTGGAATGATAGGTCTCTCACTACCTCAGCAGCTATTATGTATAGTAGCTGCCCTCTTCCTATCGTGCTTTGCCCCCTCCCCTGTGTGACGTCGAGCCAAGATGGCTGCTCCCCCCAAAGAACAAACCCTTCATCCCAGCATGTCCCTGTTCCAACCTAGAGAGTAACCTAATACTCGCTCACTTCCTACCACCTAGTGACGTCACCGGCTCCTCCATTCCCTAGCCACTACCTCACTCAACCCCACCTTAGCTCCTACAAGCCCCACCCCCGCTCCTATAAAAGGCACTTGCTGTCCTGGCCATATTGCTTTTTGTCTCTCCTTTGTTCAGAGACAGCCAAGCAGATCTGTTCCCCTAATAAAGGCTTGCTGTG